TTTAAATTAGTCTTTGGGCGGGGAAAAAATGTGTTTTAATAAATTGTCTGGTTTTGGCACTGCCATGGTTAATCATTCTGCTTTTTCTTAACAGTTCTTCATATCCTGTTGTTATTAGGTGCCCTCGAGGTGACAATGACTCATAACAACCCTCATAAACAACTCATAAACAAAAGATCACGAACCTTGCCATATCTGGTACTATTCTCGTTATCTCTGATATACTCAAGCCTATTGCCACAGACTCGGTATTGATCTATCTTGTTGAAGACCTTCCTCTCTTTTGTGTGGAAGGACCCTCCATCTTTCTCAGTGATGTCTTTTTCTAAGAACTGGCCCTTCCTAACAACATGACCAAAGTATATGAGACAAAGGTTCATCATTTTTGCCTCTAAGAAGCACCCCGGCTTCACTTTCTTCAAAACATATTATTGTTTGTTCTTTTGGAAGTCGATGGGATATTCAGTACTCTTCTACAGCACCACAACTCAAAGGCGTCAGTTCTTCTTCTGTCATCCTTAGGCATTGTCCAAATGTCAGGTGCATAAGAAGTGCTGACACCATAACAAGACAAAGGTAAATAATCCAATAGAAAAATGGGCACAGGACATGAACAGACACTTCAACAAAAAAGACATTTAGATGGCGAGCAAACACATGAAGAAATGTTCCAAATCTCTAGCTCTAAGAGAAAGACAAATCAAAACAACTAGGAGATACCAACTCACTCCAGCAACAATAGCAAAGTTCAACAGAACAGCAAGCAACAAATGCTGGCGAGGTTGTGGAGAAACTGGAACCCTTATTCACTGTTGGTGGAAGTGTAAAATGGGGCAATCACTGTGGAAGGCAGTATGATGCTTTCTCAAAAAGTTGCAAATAGACGTATCATTTGACCCAGCAATCCCACTACTGGAAATACATACCAAAGAGACCGTAACTGACATCCAAGTAGATATATGCACACGCACGTTTATGGCTGATTTGTTCACAATAGCAAGGAATTGGAAACAACCTAAGCACCCATCAACAAACGAATGGATAGAGAAGCTGTGGTATTATATTCAAACAATGGAATACTATGCTGCACTGAAAAATAAGGAACTCATGCCCAGCTCTCTGACACATAACAAGTGATTGCAAAGACCATGGTCTGTATCAGACGCACCTTAGTCTCCAGAGAGATACCATTGCTCTTCAGTACTTTAGAGAGGCCCCCAATAGCAGACTTTCCCATTGCAATATGTCTTTTAATTTCCTGGCTGCTGGTGCCAAGAGTGTTGATTGTGGAACCAAGCAAACTAAAGCTGTTAACAATCTCAATTTCTTCACCATCCATCCTGATGCTGCCAATTGGTCCAGTGGTGAGCATCTTTGTCTTCTTGACAGTGAGCCTCAATCCATATTGAAGGCTGCAGTCTTTGACCCTCTGCAGCAAGTGCTTCGGGTCCTCCTCAGTTTCAGCAAGCAGGGAAAAAACATTTGGTAATGACAAGTCAGATAAGGGACTTATATCTAGAATTTATAAAATATCTGAGCACCACAACAAGATAAAGGGAAACAACCCAATTGAAAAATGGGCACAGGATATGAACAAATACTTCACCAAAGAAGGCATTCAGATGGCTAACAAGCACATGAAATGTTCAAAATCCCTAGCTATATGGAGATGCAAATCAAAACAACTATAAGATACCATCTCATCCCAGTAAAAAGAGCAAAATTCAACAGAGCAGCAAACAACAAATGCTGGTGAGATTGTGGAGAAACAGGAAACTTATTCACCGTTGGTGGAAGTGTAAAATGGTGCAACCTCTATGGAAGGCAGTGTGGCACTTTCTCAAAAAGTTGCAAAGAGAAATACTATTTGACCCCAAAGAAACCATAACAGCCACCCAAGTAGATATATACACACCCATGTTTATCGTGGCTTTGTTCACAATAGCAAAGAGTTGGAAACAACCTAAGTGCCCATCAGCAAACAAATGGATAGAGAAGCTGTGGTATATTCACATAATGGAATAATACGCTGCATTGAAAAATAAGGAACTCGTGAAATATTACACAAAATGGGTTACCCTGGAGGACATTATGTTGAGTGAAATATCTCAGCCACAAAAGGACAAATGCTTCGTAGTGCCACGGCTGTAAAGCAGGACTGACATCGGGCTGTGGGGGAGACTGAGAAAGATGGGATAAATTATATATACTGCATTGAAACAGATGAGAGAGAGAACTGCTTAAAAGGGATATATGGTTAGGTATTATTGTCATAACAGGAGTCCAGAACGAAGGCAGCATAGTGGAGTGGACTTGGGGGAAGGGAATGTGTAACAATGAAAGAATTTTTCTTTTACTTTTCAAAGAGAAGAGTGAACTCGGGGGTGGGGGGGGGTAGGTTGGGGTTGGGCAGAGAAAAAAGTGCAACAATGAATGAATGGAAATCCAAAGTCTCTGTAACCTTTCATTAAAATTAATAATAAAAAACCCCAGCAAGTCTAATAAAAGAGGAGTGTTTTATCATGTTAAAAAAAAAAAGGCATCATGCTGGAAAGGTAGGCCTTCAGCAAGATGTATTGACATAGCAACTGTAACAATGGGCTTGTGCACTGGGCTTGTGAGATCCTGAGTATGGTACAGGATAACACAAAGTTCAGATCTGTTTTTCACAGGATCAATACAAGTTGAAACCAACTTGAGAGCATCTAACAACATCAACAACACTACAAGACCATCAGACTTCTTGGCCTCAGGTCACTAAATATAACCTCACTCACTACCAGGTTCTAACTGAAGGTGACTTTATGGAAGTGAGATTGTTCATCTCCAGAAAAGGCCAATGGATTAAAACTACAGACCAACACATAATGCATAACCCCACTAGGGCTCTAGAATAGAACCCAAAGGGCAGTGAATTGTTGCTCTCATACTTTATCTGAGTTTGGGGGGCAGGGTGTGGAGGAAGAGACAATTTCCAAATAAAGAGAGAAGAGGCTTTGACCCTCTCATGGTCAATTTTCTCTGAATTTGTGATAACATCCATAATTTAACCTTGAACCAATTAATCAAATCAGGAGTAGTAATTTAAACTTGCAAGTGAGAATTTTCCATAAATTAAATTGTTAATTTAATTCACCCCTAAAAGTACCCTTTAAAGTATCCAAAACTACCTTAACTTCTCAGAAGGTCTTGTTTATACTACAAATAATAGTGACATTGTATGAGGGGTTTTTAAGAAGGAGGCAAAAGGACTTGTTCTCCTCTTTCTGACAAGTAAATAAAACAGCAGGGAGATCAAATAACTCACTAAAAAGAAGATATAATTTTTTATCTTCCGTTTTACAGTCTCATATCCACTTCCATTGGGAATAACAAAGTCTGAATTCTTATGCAACACTTATCTAAATGTGTCGATTTTATCAAATTGATGAATTCTGCTAACAAAAGGCAGTGCTAGGAAATCTTTTATGACATATTTGGCCCATTCACAGAGCTACAGCTTTAATTTAACCAACTTGAGAATTCTGAGAGCGAGCTGCAGGTGTTGGGAGCTGAAAAAAAAAATCATAAATGGGAAGGCATATCAATCTTTATGACGAGCAAACAAAAACACTTTCTACTGCATGCCCTCCACAGACAGGCACGAAGGAGAAGTGGCAGTGGCAGGATATTGTCTTGGGCTGCATAGCAAAGAGGAAGTATCACTGTCGCCCAGTGACCACTATTTAGCACAGATCAAAAGGGACTGGCCCGGAGAGGAACAGGCACAGTGATAAAACAATGAGGTTTGCTAGGATTGTGTACTCAGCAAGGACATGTTCTCATTTTCTTGACAACATCAGAATAAGTCACTCCCGCTGCGGCATGTACAGACAGGTGGCTTTCTGCCCCACTGCTCCCAAACCCCTCAAACTGTCTCCACCACATTGCTCCCAACCCAGCAGCACTCCCACCTCTTTGCCCCCATGGATCCCTTATCACAGAAACTGCTCTGATTATAACTGAGCCAAACACTCAACATGGCTTGTTGGTCCTACTTGTAAAGAGCTCCATTCTCACCCCAAGTCATCTTTCTTCTCCACCCCTGCCTTAACTCAGGGCCACAACATCTCTCCCAGGAAAGACCCTCCAGGCTCCCCCTCTCCTCACCTGCCTGTGTTATATCCTGGATCTCCATGCTAATCACTTTCTGCCTGTACTTATTTCTTAATGGGAACATATGATCTCATTGCTTTTGATACAAAATTCTCCAATGCCTCCCTACTTCCCAAAGACAAAAAATGTAAACTCTTTGGCATGAAATGCTACTAAAGTCTGTAAACTCACTTTCCCCACTCTCACCTCCAAGAGCAACACTTAATTTCCACCTTTCTATCTCTCCATCCATTCATGCTTCCATCCAATTGTACAAGCCCCTCTGTCAAAAACAGCTGATTGCCCACCAAAATTCAGTTTTCCCTCTTGATGACTGTGGAAAACAGATAGCTGGAGAGAGAGCACATTTTCTGCCTCTCTTGTACCTCTTAGAATGGCAAATACAACCAGGAAAGGTCAGGCTCTCACATACAAAATACAATGGAAAAGAATGGTATGCACTCCTCTGTACAGTGTGCTCTTCCTGTGAGCTATGGCACAAGAGGGTCTGTGAGCAGCTCTCACCACCAGACAAGAACACTGCTTTTGGAATGGAGGGTAATAAGATGGAAGTCACAGGGATGGAAGAATAGCATAGAGAGCAGAATCAATCTCCAGAGCAGACTGCTTACATTAAGACATCACATGACTAATCAAATTCTAGTGTTCCAACACTGCTATATCGTTCCGCTTCTGTCTACAGCACTTTAAAGGCAAAGCTGCCTTACTCAATATGAACTTGATCTAAGGAATTACCAGGCAGTTGTACTTCCCAGAACCTGAAGTCAATGTCAGCCTCACCAAAGAAAGTACCTGCCTTCCAACCCATCTTGAAATGCATGTATACTTCTTATTCGCAAACCTACTTGGTGTTCTCTAGGGTCTTCTGCATTTTCTTGGTCATTTTATCAATTGCTGCCTGTCTCTTGCCCTCGGCTAAGAGGTCTATTTTGTTCAGGACCACGAGCAGCTTCTGGCAGGCAATCTGGCCAATCACTAGGCATTCTGCTGACTGTGTCTGCATCCCCTTGGTCACATCGATGACCAGCATCATTAGATCAATGATCTGGGCTCCTAGGAGAAAAGAAAATAATGTTAGAATAATGTTAGAATAATGTTAGAATAATGTTCAGAATTGAGAAGGGGCCTCTGAAGAAAAATGCCAACCACTGTTCTACTATCTATATAAACAGGCACGTCACTTAAAAAAGATGTGACTTAAGGATAAGAGAAAAAAGGGTATCAGAAATTCTCACTGCTTGACAGATTCCTTTTCATTTCTCTCTCATATTATCCACATTACCAGTCTAATTCAATTCACATCTCAGAACCATCTCTATACCAAGTTCACGTCAATAGTTCCTTAATGGACATGAAGGGTGCTCTGGTGGCCTAGTGGTAAAAAGCTATGCTGCAATCTCTAAAGCATAAGGCTCGAATCCACCAGCTGCTCCACAATAGAAGGATTAGCAATCTCCTCCCATACAATTTACTGTCTGTGAAAAATCAGCTGGAGAATTAGCTATAGGTTGGTTCCAACTCAATGACACACCCCCACCGCAACCCCCATCATCACCACCACCACCACAACAACAATGGGCATGTGTGCTTCAGGCTCAAATTCATCCTTAAAAAAGAACTTTTTAGGCATATATAACTGATTCACGTGCTGTTGGGAGTTTAATTTGAAAATTACTATGAAAATATATGCAATCTGTGAGACCCAACCATCTCCACAGACATTAAAATGGCCACTGTTGGGGCAGTATGCTGCAGGCAATGCTGGGAACCATGTAAACATCACCAGTAGGGTACAAGTTAAAACAATAAATAAAGCTGCAACCCTGAAACAACACCCTATGTTACTATGGAGTAATCTAAGAGACAGAGTGATATAAAGGGCAAGTGATAGAATAACGTGCAAAAAGTTGTGTTAAAATGGGAGGAAAGACATAAACATGTGTTTTCTCTTATTAAGGATTTGCATAAAATATTTCTGAAAAGAATACAGAAGGAGCAAATAACTTTTGAATGTCTATTGGAAAAGAAGTCAGGTAATTGGCAGACATGGGGCAGGGGTAGGAAGAAAAGTTGTCACTTACTCTTCCGTACCCTTTAAAATTAAAGAGTATGTAGTGTTCATTATGGAAAAAAAAGTACAATTCTAATTTCAAGTACATAAATTAGTAAATGTTCAATAAAACACACACCTTATCAGCTTGCTTTCTTGCTAAAAGACCCAGTGTCTTGTGAATAAAACCAAGCTCCTCATGTGGCTTCTTTTTAACACATTGCTGCACACTTTTAAAATTGACGACCGTGCTTAGAAACACATTTGCCGTCATTTGCGCCAACGTGTTAACTAATGGTTGCACACTTAACTTGGTGCTAGGCACTGAGTACCTGAATGCTATAGTTACTCCTATTGAGCCTATCCACAGCCACAGGATGCTCCAGTTTCCCTCATGTACCATGAGTATGAGCCCCACCTGACTCAAAATATGCAGTTCGCCATCTCCAGCAAACCTTTGGACCAAAAGCAACCTGTAGACTGTTGTTATCGAGTTATGAGGTAGTGAGGATAAAGTCCAAAGTTGAGTTAGAACATTTTGGGTTCTTGGCTGTGTGCCACAGTCTGGGAAGAATGGAGAGTCATCTTCACAGCAGAATTATTTCAATTCCTAGTCCTATGCTCTCAAACTCTGGTGTGCTCAGACATTACTACACAAAGCTTCTGCACACAAAGTAAGCTTCTTTCTACTGCATGAGTCATTTACAGATTGCTCGGTAATAATTGCAAGTACCCAGCCATATCTAGAATCTATATACAATCTACCTAGCTCAAGCTATCACTTACCAAGAGGAAAATATGGGCATCAGAGAAGCTCAAGGATTGTCCATAGCGATACAAAAATGATGAGGCTTCACCGCTAGGAAGTGCTGTTTCTTGGAGAAGGACATGATGTTGGGAAGAGTGGAGGGTCAGCAAAGGAGAGGAAGACCCTCACCCAGGTGGATTTACAAGGTGACTGCTGCAATGGGCTCTTGGGTGTCAGGAAGTGAGAGGATGAAGCTAGGTTCAGATGTTTTGTTTATAGGGTCACTATGAGTCGTACTCGATCTTATGGCACCTAACAACAACAAGGATTCTGGGGCTTCGTCTGACATACTTTGGACATGTTGCCAGGAGGGACGGGTCCTTGGAGAGGGACATCATGCTTGGGAGGGTTGAGGGACAACGCAGGAGGGGAAGACCCTCTATGAGATGGATTGATTCGGTGACTGGGGTAATCGGGATGGGTGTGTCAGAGGTGGTGCGGTTGGCACAGGATAGAGCAGGGTTTAGGGCTGTTGTGCATAGGGTCGCTATGAGTCGGAAACGACTCGACGGCACATAACAACAACAACAACAACAGTCCAAAGTTACCTGCTGTGCTTTATCCATTATGCCACACACCTCTCCTCCTTCGCTGGGATCCCAGCCCGTTCTATAGCCTCTTCTCCTATAGTCTTCACCCTACACCCTATTGCCTACTTTACTTTGAAGAACTAAGGCCCATTCTCCATCTCTTTTTATCATTATGCATTTATTTACTCATAACCCTGTTCTGCCCAAAATAAGTACCCAAACCTCACTTGCTACTAACCCCAACCCACAAGCCCCATACACCAAAGCCTGGGGTTTGAGTCTGTATTCCCAGCAGTTAGCACAAACCCAGCTTAAGGCACAGTTTAGTAACTATAAACTGAACAGAGTAGTGTTAACTCCTCTTCTACCTCCACCTACCTCACCCTCACATCAACCTCACCTGTTTCACTTTACTCCCCAGGTCTCTGCGCCTTCTCTCCATTATTTAACTTTCTACTGGAGGAGGGCTTAACCTCCTCCAGTGCTGGGGGCTGGAGTGACTCATGCACTTAACATATTTAGCCCATCTTGCTCTCATTCTTAGGGGGTCAGGAGGACAAAGAATTAATCTGACTGGTACACCTAAAAAGACAAGTGCTAGCAGGACCCAGACACTCAGGAACCAGTGTAGGATTTACTTGCAGCCTTAGCGCAGAGTTTACAAGCTGTCTTTGTTCAAGAGCACACAGCTCTGCCCCAGAGAGCCAGACTTTCTATAGATCCTATGCTCCCGGCCAACACGAGGGGCCTTACAAGGTCACTGCGACTTCACTGGCCACACTGAAAATCAAGGCCCCACTGGAAACCAAGGTCTGTATCAGACAACAGCCCCGCTGCCTGCCAGTGGCCCTCAGAGGCCCTCATCTCTTCATCAGACTTTTGATCAGACCACAGGAAGTGACATAGCTGGCCTGTCTTGCCTTTTTTCAGAGTCCATAGCATTTCTACAGAATGAATCAAACAGTGTCTGTCGCAATTCCCATGAACCCAGGGTAGGAAATCATTGAGACTAGAGGGGCAGAGTAAGCAAGTGGGTGGGAAACACATGACAAAAAATTCAGGCTTACAAATGACCCTCTATATTTTCCAGTCTATCAAAGCTTTTCATCTAGTTATACTGACTATAGAATTCTTTAAAGATTTGCAGAATAATTATAACAGGGCTAAAGTTTCTCAGTACTTTTAAAAATTAAAATTACCAACTCTACTGATCATATCTTAAATCATTTCCAAAAAGGCACAAAGGTCAACATTTTAAAAACTGTAAGTTATCTGTAAGATGTAATTTTCCTTCTGAGACTAAAGGGGGAGAAATACATGTTCAAAAAAAAGTTTCAGTTGGAGAAACTAAATATTTAACAACTTTTCTTTCTTTAAAATATGTAGTTGTGAACATTCCAATAAGGAGAATCAATACTAAATTTAAAACAAGAAAACTTTTCTTTTCCATATATATTATTATCACCAATATACAACAGTGGCAGTTTATATCCTGTTATAATAATAAAAGGAGAAAAAACTGAAGTTGTCACAGATTTCATTTTACTTGAATCCATAATCAATGACTAGGGAAGCAGCAGTTCAGGCCTCAGACAACACACCACAATGGTCTGATGTGCTGCAAAGGACCTCTTTCAAGTGTAAAAGAGCCAAAATGTCATTTTAATAACTGAGGTGCACCTAACCTAAACTACAGTGCTTCAATCAAATCCTATATATGCAAAAGCTAGGCAATGAATAAGGAAGACCAAAGAAGTGATGCTCTGAACTCCAGCGTTGACAAAGAATTCACAATGAATTGCCAAAATAATAAACAAATCTGTCTCAAAAGAAGTACGCCAGAATGTTCCTTAGACAATCAGGTAGTAAAGTTTGATTTCACATACTTTGTGTTATCAGAAGAGGAGAGTCCCCAGATAAAGGTACCACATTTGGTAAAGAAAAAGGGTCAGGGGAAAAGAGGAAGACCCTCCATGAGACAGACTGACATGGGGAATGAAACAAACGGGCTCAGAAATAACAACTGTGAGGATAGCACAAGGCCAGGCAGTGTTGTTCTGTATTTAAGACCATGTGATAGTTAAATACAGGGTGTCCAGGTGGCCATGATCTTCAGGATAATATCATTATGCTAATTTGTAAATTCTAACCTTTTATATACTAATCAGGCAGGATTAGCAGCAAGTCTATAAAGATATGTTCAACTTTATCTGACTAAGGAGAGATCTAGTTAAGAGTGTAGCATACATTGAATATATGTTTGTAGTCTGACAAAAACCTAGAGAGCTTTCTGTACCATCTACACCTGGCTCTTTGGCTCATAGCTTCTACAATGAAACCAGTATCCTGCCCTACTTGCCACTCTTCAAATTCTTCTGTCTCCAAGCCAGTTATCTCTAATCTGCTCTCTCACAAAGACCTTTGGACTCATCAGCCTCTGGGGCAGATAGCCTCCTAAGCCAGCAACCTGAGATCCTGCATACCTGCTGAAGACTTAGATTCATCAACTTCCAAGGTGTCTCCCTGTTGAGGTCTGACCTACAGACCTGGAAATTGCCAGCCTCTACAAGCACATGAGCCATTTAAAAAAAAAAAAAGCTGAAGACGGTAAGATTGAAAAATAGGACATTCTAAATATTAAATCTCTGTGCTCATCAAAAACTTC